TCAATCGCCAAAATGATCGGGTCCGTTCGTGATAGAACCATTTTCCGGCTTATATTGCTGCTTGTTAAATTTATTTATAATACAATTCGCTGGCGAAACAACAAAATTCAGGAAACGCCAGTTCAGAAATGCTGACCAATCGATGCAACAAAATTCTAGGTACGCGCACTCGAGCGGGAATTATTCGGAATTTCAAAAATAATGGTCATTTGTCCTCCCTCGTGCGTTAAGTATAATATATTAACACTTTGGAATCCGTACAATATAAATTCTCGCCATATATTGCATTCGAACCAGGGATAGAGCGAAATCTCGATCCGAATTAAAAATTCAAACAATTCTAATAATACACTTATATACTCGAATAGTATTTGAATAATCTTCATACATGAATATTTGACTAATCAAACATCGCACACGTTGGTTAGGTTTCTGAATATCTATAGTACTTGAATCGGATGTTTCATCAAGGAGTTTCATGTTTACACGATAATATTCAAACACTCGTTCGAGTATCGTTCCAATTATATTCACCGATTACTCAAGCCGCCATACAGAAGAATTCGGCTCGCAATTCTTCGTTTCTAGTTTTCTAGCGTTCAAAATTTTGCTCGTACGAGCAGCACAGCGCTCCGTGTGCACGTACCGCATATCGACCTGCTCGAGCCAAGGGGTTTGTCATTGCGGAGGGTGCATTCGACCCCCCGGTTGCTCCTTCGGCGGGGGTTGCAATGACCAGCGACGATCCCAGAAGCTGAACACCGTCCAACACTGCAGCCCCGCGTTAGCGATAATGGCCGCTGCGAGCACGGCTTAATGTCGGAAGGCGGCCAGAGACGACGCTACGGCTTACGAGGCTGGCAATTTATCTGGCGATTCGAACCGGTCGCGATGTGGAAACGGGAAGGGAAAAAAAACTGGAGCACCGGTCGATTGACAGCGTTACCCGGAGAAAGTGAAACGCGGACGGGTTTAGAAACACGGAGCGACGCGACGATTCACAATGCTATCGAATTTTCACCAGCTTCGACCGTTCGCGCGAATAACGAATACCTGGTCGGATTTGTATAGGCGTTGGATAAGTTGTCGTTTAGGCTTGTCCGCGGTCGAGTGCGACGTGACGTTGGTAAACATTGATTGCTTCGACCGGGTGGATATTTCATACTCGACGCGACTACCCCGGACACAAACGTAAAGGGTTTTCCAAAAGAGGATGTAGGATTAAATAACCATTTTGCATATTTAATTACTATCGCTTGTACTTTCGTTTAAAATATCAAGAATATGGAGTCCTTTTTGGAATATCTTTACTAAGCTTGATTATTATTTATTTAATTGTGGGTCTTTCAAGATAGGACCACGAACTTACCCTTAAACCTTTGCACTCGAGGCCTTTTTCTCTGGTATCTACAAGCAACTCAAGATGTTTCTTGGCATTCTATTGCCATTCATTCTAAGCTATCTAGATTTGAAAATAAGGCCACCTTTACATCACCGACAATCATTTTATCGACACTTCGAGCTCCAAAGAAATTAAACCTGAAGAAACATTAGGTATTGTAGATTTGCTGCGTGAAACCTAATCACGCCTCTCAAGTCACCTCTCGAGTGCAAAGGGTTAAAACTGTACAGAAACAATTCTACCTACAATTTTAAGTAACTGGAAGAGCGAATGACCCAACCTCGAAAATAAAATCAAGCGTGTATAACCCTCGCCCATATCGCGAAGAACATCCCTCAGACAGGGAATCGAAGAAATGCTGCTCGACCCTTCGCAGTATTGCTTCATGACTGTTTTTTTTTATGAATCCCCGGTAGGAAGGTCTCTGGACTCACCCTTAATTAAAATTAAAAGACTGCAAACGTAGGATTCACCGGCGTCATTTTCAACCTTACCGCGCCACCCTGGGCCTCACTGCTTCCATCCTCGGTTCTCGTTTCGCGTCGTCCCTCGTCAGCACCCTCTCCGTCCCCGTAGCGCTACTACCACCATTGCCCGTCGATTTATATTCATAATTACAGCGCCCCCGCGCCAGCCGGTTTCACCTGGCTTCGCAAGGGGTGGAACGCTGAAGAGATTATTAGCTGACGATGAAATCAAAATGGCAGGGAAACTCGAGCGATGCAGTGCGTCCGTCGTTCCGGTGGGGTGCTTTAAATGCCAACTAGAAATCTCTATTTGCAGATATGATTAGGCTCTGTAACAGTAGCTTGTTCTTATTTACCAAAGAAATCAGTCATTAGCGTTACGTAGAGCAGGTGATAGAAACGGATATTTTAATAATAAAAATGATACAAATTAACTAAAATTAAGTTGATATAGTCAGTAAACAATTTTTGTATCATCGAAACCGTAACTTTGAATTAATTAGTAAATAAATTCGATCGAAAGGTAAATAAGTTTAAATATAACAAATATCGAGTTCCTAATATAGTTAATTGTGGATCGAAGCGTATAGTATCAGCTTCTACTTTGATTAAAGTGTTTTCTTATCGATAAACATTAATTTGAATTGATGGCAAGAATCCCGAACCTGGACTTCCACTTACCAGGACAGTCGACTATTTTAACATCCAGCATTAAACATTCGTGAACCTTTAAGTACTCGGTCGTTGTAAATGAATAACTCAGAATTCTAGGAACGGAATTTCGACCCGAACGAGCTTGATCATTTCAGAAACTGGCGATCGCACTTTCTACTAATTTGAAGTAACGCAAAAGAGCACTTACTTAGATTCAAACTAAGATCCACCTAATATTACCTATCAATAAAAATAATTTATAAGAATTTACAAAATTTGTTGCAATTTGTAACTAAATTTACTTTTCTTCTTGTTAAATCTGCCACTGTGAACTGGTCAAAATGGTCCATTTTAATCGACTCATAGGTACATAATTTTGTATTTTCTCAAGTGAAGAGAATTCCAGCTGTAAAGAAAGATCAGCCCTCGAAGAATACACGGCGAGAGCTCGATCCCTCGTATTTCAAGTTCGCTATTACGCGAGCACATTGCTGCAAACTCGAGGAATAACAGCTTCCGGAAAGCGCAAGGAGATATGTATTTACCTGACGTATGATACTGCGCCGGGCGCAACATTTACCCAATAAAGCTATTGACACGACAAACAAATCTCCGGCAAATGGACAGAGAGAAGCTTGTCAACATTTTACAGTTGCTTTTATGGCAACAGACCGGGATTCTAAAGCGGAATGATTAACGCGGTGTTACGACCATTAGATTGTTATGACAGCACGTACAAGCGGTAAATAGAGCCACGAAGCGAGTTCTCTTCTTCGATTTACTTCGATTATTAACTGGCCAGTCGGATCAGTGTGTCTGATACAGTCACTAACGTTGTCTATCCATTTAATTCATATTACTATGAGATCCACAATTTTTCTCTTCTCTTGAACATAGAATCTACTATCATTCTACATTCATCACCTCAGTTCTTAAAAAATTAATTAAACATACGATTTGTGCATGATCATTTAGAGAGCCAGGACGAAGATGTAGAGTTCTTTTTTCTAATCTGTAGTTTGGTTATCTAGATAGTTTACAGTTTACTGCGCTTGTGGCGCCACTAGTTTACAAGCTCGCCACGCACTGAAAGCACTCGCGCATGCGTGTCGAAAATGCTGAGTACACAGCACTATAGCTATAGGAAACAATGTATGATCCCATGGCAAAGGTTGGCGTCAAAACCAGAAAGACCGTTCTTTTAGTTATACAAAATGTGTTTTGTCTGTAAAATCCACACAATTCATATTATTGCATGCTCAGTAATATTTCCAATTTTCATTATAATTCTATTTTTCTTTGTGACGCTATTTTTATGGTCGTATTAGATACTTTAATGACGCTAAAACCAGTGGTGACCTAACCCAGCCTTACTCCAATCAAATTAATCACGCTCGCAATCACCTTCGAACGTCATCCTCGTTTTTGGTTAAAAAATGAAAAGATATACAGCTCCAGACGAAACAAGGACGTTTGCCAAAGATAGATGAAAAACTCAAAAATGCATCGCGCGGCCCCGTTCTCGTTCACTGCTCTTCTGAAACTCCGCGGGATCATCCGTTATAAATCCCAGAGAAGAAGCTCCCGACGTCGACGTCGACGTACTCAATTTCATTCCACGCTGTTCGCCTTCCGTCGACGTTCCTGCGCCGCAGGTATGCTCAACGAAGGGTGTACATTTCATGTAAAAGATAAGTAGTAAATTTCCTTGAAACACAATTCCTTGAAACACATTTCATTCAATTTACCAAGTTTGACATCTGCTTTTGTGCCCATACGCCGCGAGAACTGGAGAAAAGGGGAGGGTATGAGTCGGTGACACGTGATCCCAATGAACGGGATGAAAAATCCTCGCGCAAACGCCTCGTCCTTTGTTCGTTACGAGTGCACCGTCATTTTTAGAACTCGATTTTCGAGTTAAAATTTTTGCCGAGGGTTAATCAGCGGTATGGATTGTTTTCTTTCTGTCAGATGTCTGAAAATATCAAAACTAACGAATCCGAGAACGGGAGAGGGCTGCGAAATAAATTTTCATTTGTTTTTATGCGAGAAATTTTTCTTGCTTCATGCTCTACTTGGACCGCTGGTGAAACTCGCGGAACTCCTCTGTAAAAACGCGTGACGAATATTCCTTTTTTTTCCCCCGACGAGAAAGATTTAATTTCGCTACGATAATTTGTGCGCCGTCGAGCTCGATATTTCGCGTCGAAATTCGACCAAATTCAATGCTGAAATTCGAGGCTCAATAATGTTTGAAATTATTTCGCCCTTTGTCGCGCGGCACAAGGGACCTTTATTGCACTTATACTTCAAGCAATTTAATCGAATATACGACTCGTTGCGCCCTGTTCTCGATTTTAATCACAGTGTCTTTCGCTATGCGATTAAAATGGAAAGGAGATTGCAAACAATTTCGTTGAAAAAGTAAATTCAGTATTATTGATAAAATCTACACTAGCGAGGTTACCAGAAGAAATTGGGATGACTGATTGACAGGAAAGAAGACATTCTTAGACACTATTATTAAATATTAACACTAGGTTTACGGAGGATCTTAGTAACTTCACTGCGCTCTTTATTTTTTCTTGTTTACTTTTTAAAAAGCATTGATCACGTTTACGTTTATTACAGCAAAAGTGGTTGGAAAGAAATGTTTTCTGTAGCTTTTCTTGAGAAATTAGGAATGGATCAAAATGACCGTGTTCCGTAAATCTAGTATTAAACACAGCAGGTATTCAAAGACTTTCGAGCGACAGTACCACTCTCCAATCATCAGCGCGTAAAAAGAACAGGAGCTCAGCTTTCTTCCCTTCTCTTCAAACCGACCGCGAACCCTGTCTTCTCGGCTCGAGGCCGTAAAGTCGATCGTCCTTTTCAGCGGAATAATTCGGACATAAATAGTGCATCAAGTGGCAGGGAGAGGAATCACGCGATCCGAAAAGGAACGGGGAAAGAAGTCGGGGAGACATCCTCACCCCTATCGCGAGGCATTTAATCCGCAACTTTGGTGCTAGGGTCTCCCTTGGGGAAAGCGTTCTCTTTGGTTTTCCGCGCGCAACAATAAGTTTTTCCCCGATGCAGGCCTGTCAACGACGCACAATTGGCGGCACCGGGGTCGGGGGTTGGTGGGTGGGCGAGCTTCACCCCCCTCGACCTCCATCCCCTTTCGACCACCGCCACCGACCCCCCTCCTTTTCAGGCTGGATCTCATCCCATTCTCTGTATGCCGTGATTGCACGGCCCGGGGGCGATATTGGGGTGCGTATGTATCGCCATGAGGGGATGCGCCTGTTCACCCTCCGTCTCCCTCATCCTGTCCCGTTTCCAGTCTCCTGTTCGTTCTCTCGTACCGGCACATCCGGCGTGTCTATGCCTCCGTCCTTCTCCTAATTCAAGCATCCCACTCCACCGCGCGACACGGCCTCGCGCACTATTCCGTCCGGTCGTTCCTTCTACGCGATGGAGACAAGAGGAACGCTTTATGGACGACGGAGGGTGACCCGAGAAACTTCGTGAAACTGCCACGGATGAATTACTGATATTGGGTACCCGGCGTATCGTTGTGGATATCTTCCTTCGGCTACGGTCGCTCGTCAATGGGATCACTTGGTTCTCAAGGGTGATTAAAAGAGGCGGTCGTGGGTTGTTTCTTGTTTGTTCTTCGCCAGCGAGGTCTGCCGTTTGGTTTGAAGATGTTTATGATGTTTAGTCGAGATGCGAATCATGTCGAAGTAAGAGTGGAATCTATAAGTTACAATCTGGAATCAAACAGTGTCAAATATGAAGGTTTGAAATATACACTCAGCAGCCTTTTGGTACGTCTTGAGGTTTCTATAGATATTCACATGACGTAGAAGCAGCCATTCTAAGAATACATTCCCAAACAGTTGACATTCCTCCTTCAGCACACCACCTACAGCGCTCGAATATCCTTCATACTTCCTCCAATAGCTCGGTAAGACAGACATGTTTAGGGTGGCGAGCCCAATTGCCTTTTCCAGTTGACATGTTCACCAGGTACAATCCATGTAGAAGTAACAGTGCAACCTATAAATTACAATCTAGAATCAAACAGTGTCAAATGTGGAGATTTGAAACACACTCGGTACCCGTTTTGTACCACGCCTTGGGGTTTCGATAGATATTCAGATGACGTAGAATCCATTCTAACAATACATTCCCAAATAGTTGGCATTCCCCCTCGACCACACCACCCACGATCTCCCAAACATGCTTCATACTTCACCAATAGCTCGCTAAGGCAGACATGTTCAGGACGACGAGGCCAATTGTTCCGTTCACAGCGCGATTCCTTTCGATAGACGTTGTCGAGAAGAGGGTCAGTGGTTGCCTATTTACGAGGCGCTAAGGACACAGGTGGTGACAGCATGGCCTGTGCTGTGGGACCCAGGAAAAGTCGACACTTTCGCCAAGTGGGACCGTCATGTTGCACAGGCGTGTATCGCCCTTGATTTCTCCGAGCTTAGGACAATGACATCTATTGAGGATGAAAACGAATGATGTTATTTCCGCAAGGTTCTCATACAAACTTCGGAGGTTGGTAGTTTCACTTCTTAACGGCTGGTTGTGCCAGGTTGTACGGTCGGTTGTTCAACTCATCGTACAACACGTTATACAACACGTCGTACAATCAGTTGTACAACAGATCGTATCGTGTATGAGGCGTTTAAGGTCTCATCGACTACCGTGACTAAAATGATATTTCCAACAATATCAACACGACTCTAGAAAATTCCCTTGGGTCGCGATTATATTCCAAACTTTCGTTGGCCTCCTCGTAATTGTTCCTTCACGTCGAACCGAACACTAATCGTCCTTTCCAGTTATAAGTTACAATCTATCATCAAACATTGTCACACATAAGGGGTTTGAAACATACTCAGCACCCATTTTGTACGCTTCGGGGTTTCTATGCACATTCAATGACGTAGAATCCATTCTAAGAATCCATTCCCAAGTAATTGACACTCCCCCACGACTACACCACCCACGACGCTCAAACATCCTTCATACTTCCTCCAAATAGCTTGCTAAGACAGCGACGTTCAGGACGACAAGCCCAATCGTCCTTTCCGGTTGACATGATCGTCAGACCCAATGCATCACCTAAAAGCCCCTCTTCGACTTGCACTCCTAATCCCTTTAGACACAATCCCAACTACGAAGATGAGAAACGAAAGGGAACCACGCCGCCGGTGATTAAATTTCCCCTCTTCGTGGGACGATAAACATATCCCTGTAATTATCGATATTGGATACTCGCGGACGGACACGGCAGTAATGCTCTCGCAGATAAGATTCCGCGTTTTTATTTACTTCTGACGATAATCACCTCCTGCGAGCGTAACGCGAGACCCTTAATGCGGCGGGCGGTGCGCTCCCTGTTAGGTCCTCGCGACTCGGCCTCGCAGAATCGTTATTTCGTTGCCGTACCCTGACAGGCCTCGCAGAATAGCCCGAGCCGCCGCGGAAACGAGGAGGAACGATCCCAAAACCTTTTTTCATTAGCTCGACAAAGGCTACAACGTGGCCAGGACATCAGCGATATAGTACATCAGCGGTGCCCGCAAGACGTGCAATTTAATCGTTTGCCCCTGCGACAAAGGGTCCTCGCCGCTGTCTCAGGACGCATTTCTGGTTACGTTTACGGCAATAACTATGAAACCGTTTCGCAGACACGGGACGGGAGTGTGTAAGAACGTCCGTACGCTTGCGGTCGGTTTTCATTTTGAACCAACTACCCCTCGCCGGCGAGCCCTAACTGCTCCACGCTTTACGAGCCGCCGAGAAGCGTGACAAGAAGAAGAACTATGTGAATTTAAGGACAGATGTAGAAGTATCAGGTTGGGTTTCGTGTAATCGCTGATTTTCGACGGGTTGGAGGTGGGCGGAGAATGAGAGGCTCCGCAGGAGATGCTGATATTTGTAAAAGTTGGTTGTAGTATTACTGAGTATGGTGGCACCTCCTGTCCTCACCGCTAGAGGGACGGACGCCGCGAGTCTTCTCACAAGCGCTCGGTCCCGCCTAACGTCGTATATAAGATGCCATCGTCTCGATCGAATTCCAAATATCCCGGCGTCTGATGGGCCCCATACACGATAGGATCTGTTGCAGAACACATCGTACGATGAGAGTTGTACAACCAACCGATTCGACGGATCCTTCGACCGTATGAATACAATTCCATTGTGGCGGGTTCCCGAATGACGGTACGGGATTCGTTGTACAACAGATCGTATCGTGTATGGGGCGTTTAAGGCGCGGGCCTGCTAGGTATTGACGAGTCCCACTAGCAGGCCCAGGACGAAACGCCGCTCCTTTTTTCCTCTCTCGTTCTCCCTCCACAGGCACAGCCACCAACACTGAGTATACTCGATATATTAGGTAGTAGAAACACAAGAATTAATAGTAGGACTATCAAGACTACAACGGACCAAATATCAACTGCGGTGCGGTTGACTTGTATACTTGTCGTATAAAATAAGAAATTACCACTGACTATAAAAACTCGAAATTTCTATAAAATGTAATAAGAATATTATTTGATGGTACGTGTCCTTTATATTACCAATATAACTGCTACGTATTTTATATGGAGAGGGCTCACGACTTGAAATCAATTACATTCGTAATCCGCGCCTTGGACGGCGAGCGTTAATTTGCGGAAAAACTGCGGAAAAAAATGAAAAACGTAAAGAGTCAAGTTATCGGTGTACGACCTGCGAAGTGGCACTTTGCGTGGTACCGTGCTTCGAAAAATATTATACCTAAATAAATTGAAATTTCTAAAATTATTTTCTCTCTTCAATTTTTCTTGTTTACGTGTTTTATTATCTTTTGACAATTTTCGAGCTTTTAGTAAGAACAATTCAGAATGAGTTGTCAATTATTTTGTTAAAAAAAAACGTAATCCTTCCTAATTCTTCGTAAAATTGACGTGCATACCCTTGCTTGATTTTAACTCGTCACTATGTGGAGATCTTTTATTTAAAACTAAATTCCGCAGTTTTAGACAGGTTTATACTACGTTAATTATGAGGAATAGCGAGTAGGAATAGCGAGTGTTAGATAGCGACTACTAGAAATATTTCAATAACTGAGGTTGTTTCGAATACTCAAATCTGAGAAAACATTATAAAAACCCCCAATGACTGCTCCTTATCCCGAAGATATCAAAGACATACATTCTCACGTCCATAAAAGTCGTCCTGGTGACAGCGCTGCCATCGATCACTATTTCACGCGGTACGAACCGTCGACCACTGGAATAACTTTCCCCAAACATTCCTTACTCCTGAATCCATCCACCCTACAAGGAAAATCCCTGAACTTTCCACTAATAAGGAATTCCACCTAGAAATTCGTTATTTTTGCGAACGAAGCCGCGTCGCGATAGCACGAGGCTCGCCGGTGTTCAACAAAATCATCCCCCACTTCCCCGTGCGCCGTAACACACGCGTGCAGATATTCGTACACTTGCGGTCCGTTTCCATTCTGACCCAACCGCCTCCTGGAACCATCGGCCCCTAACCGTCCGCACTTTATGTGCCGTCAAGGGGGTGAGAAGGAAGCGAGGGGCTGACAGAGGGGGCGGTAGAAGGGCGCCAGGCAACCCTCCTAACTCTCGGGCCCCGGGGGTGAACGTGGGCTGGCTCATGGCTCCTAGGCGAGGGGGACGGATGGGGGTGGAGGAGGAGAGGAGGGAGAGTTGGGAGCTGGAAGCAGGAGGGCTAGGGATATTACGGACAGGACGCCGAGATATCCACCCCTTCGTCCGACCTTCTCGAGGGGCGAGCGTTCGGGGGTGGAAAGGCGCCCGAGAGACGGCCGAGGGTAGCGACGGATATAACCCTGACGCACACACGTGCAAGAAACGAAGTTGCGAGCGGAATTTCGAGTTACACGCTGGCGAGGGGCGTTCCAGATAGCTTTTCTTCGTTATTAATAAACGGTTCGCGCCTTGATAACGCGTGCTGCCAGCCGAGGGCTGCACTTATTAACGCCTCGTGCCGGCCTTTGATTAACTGTGATGTGTCGGTCGATTTTCTGACGTTTTCTGCGAAAGCGATTTCTGTTCCTTTTGTTTCGTGAGTGCTTGATTTGTTAACGAACTGGAACTGTTTTAGTTGCAGCTGAATGCTGGAGGGTGTCTTCTTAGAACTTGATGCATAGGCTTCATAAGGGAGGTAATATATTGTTTCCTGAAATTTTAGGAAACGCATTTGCGTCACGTTGATCGCCACATCGGTCATATATGGGTGACAGTGCTTTTCACAGAAGAACTGTATAAACATAATTTTGAAAGTCAAATGTCAAAGTAAATGAATTTGAACGAAGTTACAAAAATAAACAGCACAATTAGTGTTTGATTATGGAGATTCCAATTGTCTGCGAACAAAATTTGATCGCACTAGAAATTTTCAAGACTCTAACAGTCAACTTGTTAACTATTTCTTGTGTAATACACCTAAAAGGAAGTTAGATAAAAATACTATCTGTACAATGTACCGAGAACATTTTTCAAGACTCGCACATATTGATCCCTTGTCTATAACTCATTCAAGAATCGTAAATATTTCTACTTATTTGTGCGTCACTAATGCCTGAATTTTCTTGACTGATTAATTTGTAACCCTGTGTGCCCTTCTATAATTTTTGGAACGAGTTCTAAAATAGCGAGACGGTTCATACCCTTTCCTGGGTTGGCAACAGAGCAGAGTGATGCGGTGTTCCGAAACTCCGTGGTCCTCTTCGTCTTCCAAACACCCTGCCACCCTATAGCCCTCACCCACACATACAGACGCGCAACGCTCTGACGTGCAGCACGGTTTTAGCTCAAGATGGAATGCTCGTACCATTTCTCCGTGAGTACACTCTAGGAGGGTGGAAATGTTTTCTGTCCTTCCTTTCGGCCAAGTGATGTCTTCGTCATCGAAGAAATATGGATTTTTTTTCCGCCGGGCAGAAATTACACCTTTGTCGGAGTCATTAGCGGTGGCTCTCGACGTTTCGCTGCTGCAATGCTTCCAGATAACTCAGAGATTGAACGATTTAAGTGTTGGTATTAGGTTGTTGCATATCTGCACCTAGGACGGGAAATACAGTCAGTCTCATAAGTATTCGTATTCTTTATGTCTATTAAAGAAATTTATTTGAATTAGATGATAGGTTCCATGCCTTCAAATAAATATAATAATAATAATTTAATTATAATAATAGTGAAAGCAAAGCGTGTGATTTTATTTACATACAGATAGTCTCATAAGTATTCGTACTCTCTATGTCGATTAAATTAGATGATAGATTTCATGCTTTCAAATAAATATAATAATAAAAGCATAACGTGTGATTTTATTTTCATACAGATAGTCCCATAAGTATTCGTACCCTCTATATTTATTAAAGAAATTTGTCTAATTTAAACGAATGCTTCGTGTTACCAAATAAATTTGTAATTGTAAATATTATACATGTGTAAAGTTTACTCGTGAACGTATTTATAATGAAATATTTACGTGAAAGCACCAAGCCTATAATTTAATTTAATTCATTTAATTTAAATTCTTCAACAGACATAGAGAGTACGAATACTTATGGGACTTACTGTACAAGTCTAAATCTTAAGAGTTTGGGATAAATATGTTCATATTGTAAATATATGAAGTTTCCTAGATTTGGATACCTAAAAAGATGTTGAACATTATTGCAATTGAAATTAGTCTCTCGAATTTAATACTGATCGATCAATCGATTCCAAATGTAATTAGTTATATCTTCACGCAGAATATCTGAACCCTAGCTGCGCCCCCTTCAAAGAACGGACCCGTGTCGCCTTCAAACACCAAGTCCCTCAAATTAAACAGAGTGGAGGCGAAGTTTTCGCGACTAACGTCCTCTCACGCAGCTTCAACCCTTCCCTCCGTTGAAATCCCCAAAGGTGGCTCAGTGTGCCTAATCATTCTTTAAAGTTTCACCCTGACGCTAATTACCCGAAGAGCCGAAGCAACGAACTAAGAAGATTAAAAAATCCGCGGGGGAAGTTTACCCAGGCAATCTTTGCGCGATGCGCATCATTTATCCGCGCTGTCATCGCCTAATTAAGACACTCGAAAACATTACACGGACGATAGAAACATCGTGATCGTACGCTTCTCACCCTTTCGAGCCTCTCGCAGAGAAGACATAAAACGTTGACCTATATCACAGATACGCTCCACTGTGACGGTAGAACAATAAAACCCTGTAGATAGTAAGGGCTTATCTAATACTAGCTGTGCCCAGTGATATTCTATTCTTATTCTGTACGACCCCTTTAAGGAGTTGAATTTTTAGAAAAGCTGAAATATGTGTTTGATTAATTGTATCAAAGAGCATTAAGACAAATAAAATATTCCTCGTACAAACGTTGCAACCCATTTTCACCCCCTTAGGGGTTGAATTTCGAAACTTCTGTATGTCATAAAGGAAACCTCTGTGCAAAATTGCAGATTTCTAGGTTCAAGGGTTTAGCTTGGGCGTTGGTATGTCAGTCAATCAGTCAGGGTTTCATTCTAATATAGATCATTAGCAAATTAACACCTATTTCAATAATGTATTTGGAAATATTTTCTCGTGGACCTAGAAAATATTGTCAAACAAATTTGCCTGCATCGCATCCTAAACAAGTAATTTCAAGTAAAATCATAGAACCTTGGAGATAGTAGGGGCTTATCTAATATCGTTAGCAAATTCACACTAATTTTCATCAACAATGTGTTTCAAAATTATTTTCTCGTGGACCTAGAAAATGTTGTCAAACAGATTTGCCTGCATCTCATCTTAAACAAGTAATTTCAAGAATCCCTTTTTCTCTTCCAACTACCTTTAATCAAACTTTGTGTAGGAGTTCTATTTCTCGTGGCTTACCCTGTATAAGTGACATACCTCAGTGAAACGCTTGCAATTTTAAGCAGCCCCATGCGGGTAGCCCGAACCCTACACGGAATTTCCTATAATTAGTCCGTCAGATTGATTGGCCAGAATGTTCAACCGCGGAGAAAATTTTCTGTAATTGCTGCTAAGCTAACCAATCCAAGAAGAATGCCGCATTGTGGCCGCTAATGGCGGGGGCGACGTTCCTTATTAATTTTGACACTTTCGACCTCCCCTTCACCCACACGCTGCGCCTTCGTCCTTGTTATCGACAGGGGCTACATCGACCCTGTTCCTTTTCCGTCTTCATCCCTTTGAGCGGATGGAACAAGCGCGGCGGGAGAGGGATAGCCCGATGCGGAGACCCGCTGGCGAAAGGGAGAAAGAGGGTCTCAGCGAAAATACATCGTCGTTGTATATCTTCCTTGACCGTCAGGGGCATAACTCCAGGATGAGTCAGTGCTTCTTGGACCGCACCGGACCCACCCTCGGTCTTCTTCCACCTCTATGCCCTACCCTGCCACCGACTCTGCCGCCCTCTTCTCGCCTACCACCCCCTGGAGCCATCAGAGTAGAAGAGCCGGAGCAACCCTCTGGCCTGAACCTTCATCAACGGATCTACCGACCCCACCTTTATCAAGAACCCCCAGTCCTGTGAACCCCTTTCGTTCCCTCTGCCTCTCCCCTCACCCACCCACCCCGCCCTATCGCTTCACCCCCAGTCTCTGTCCCTCCTGTGACCGTTCGCCACATTCTTTCCGCCCTCCGACAACTTCGCGTTTCTCTTGGTTACTCTTTCGTTCGTTGGGTCCTCTTTTCTTCCTCCTAGTCGACGACGTTCCACCTTCGTTTCTGTGCCTCACTAACTCTCTCGCCCTCGACCCACCCCCCTGTGCTTCGCCCTACGGAGTCTAGATTAACGGAACCTTTGCTGCCGGTAAAAGGGAGTCACCCCCGGCGCACCTAGTACGAAGGTGTCGTCCCACGGATGGGATGATAAAGTACGAGCCGGAACAGTTGAATATAGATGCATCGCGTACACCTGTTAATTTTTTAATCCCCTTTAGGGGCCGCGAGTCGTGTAATCTCGGCTAACGAAGTTGGGGGAAAGTTCGACGCTGAGACAGTGTTTCCGGAACGCCGACGGAAATTGTGACCCTACACCCCCTCCACTTCCTACACGGTATCTCGAGGAACAGAAAAGCTTATCCGCTTATGGCCGTTTGATATTGACTTTTAGAGGTTCCATTGGTAGATTAGGGTGGAAGGAGATGGATATTTTTTGTATCGGAGACTTTTGAGAGAAATAAACTTTCGTGTTTGCATACTTTACAAGCAGATGTTTATGTACGCGTTAGACAAAGGGTTGATAATCATGTTGAGCTATCATCAAAGCTTTTGCTCTATCTAGTTTGAGAAAATTAAATAATGAGACACAAAAGGAGACCTAGGGAAGCGTTGGAGTTACAACTGTGGTGGGGATGATTCTTCTTCAAGTTTGGGGACTTCTAAACCTGCACATCCTCAATGTGTCAAATAGTGGTTAATAGTCATCTTGGGCTACCATTCAATCGTTTTGCTCTATCTATTTTACCTACTTCAAGTAATGAAATACAAAGGGAGACCTAGAAAGGCGTTGGAGTCACAACTATGGTGGGGATGATTCTCCTTCAACTTTGAGGGACTTCTACACATTTTCATTTTGCATGGTGACACCTCTCCATAAAAATTCCACTCTTTAAATCTCTCCACTCATTTCAATCCACGATCCATCTTGCTCAAGCTTCCTATCAGTATTTGAATTCAGAACTTTGCGCAGGGGTTTCAATCTACCAGAGCATTTCCTACGCTCGCCCTGACGTTTAAAAATGCTAGCACGTAATTACAAACGGTTACGTTTACAATAACGACATCGGTAATTAGTTGCATTTCGCGTGGAATGTGTGCGACCACGCGCACGCGGTGATAGTATCGATTTATCGTGTGCACAGTGGATGTGTGCGGATTGGGTGCGTGTGGCAAAGGGAATTTCAACCAGACCGCCGGATCGATTGGCCCGAAATTGGAAAATAATATTAGGTTTCTGATTGAAACGGCTCTTCCGAAAATGTGCCTCGCTGGCGTGACGCTTCTGTCCTCGGCCGGGGTTAAAAGCGCTTTCAAATCGCTTCCTGAACCTTATATTCAATCTTCAAGATTTCTAACCCCACGGAATGATTGTCGAAGTCTCCAGGGCCAAAAGACCGTCTCGGGTTTCACGATCGCATTTAAAACACAGCGATACAGGGTTTTTGTGGAACAGAATTGCCAATCCGTTCGAAAAATAGGAGTAAATTAGGGATTGGAAGCGAGTGACATCACTGCGATTGTGGTGGCACCTCCTATCCTCATCGCTAGAGGGACACCGAGCGTTTGAGCGTTTCTCACAAGTGCTCGGACCGCCTAACGTTCCTATATAAGCCCTTCCCGATTAAACTCCAAATAATCCCGACGTCTAATGGGCCCTATACGCAATACGATGTGTTGTAGAACGTATCGTACGATGAGTTGTACAACCAACCGCTTCGACGGATCCTTCGACCGTACGAATAGAATTCCATTATCTGTGTCGGGTTTTCCTGTACGACGATCGATCCGTTGTACAACGCGTTGCACGATGTCGTATGTCGTCGTTATACGTCGTACGACTCATTGTACGACAGATCGTATCATGTATGGAGCGTTTAAGCCACGGGCCTGCTCTTCTCTCTCGCTTTCTCTCCACGGCACTACCCCCACACGATATATCGCAGAAATGGCTATCTTCACGAATACTAATGCATGACAATTGCGACATACTTGAAATTCGCCTAATAATTTTGTAAAACTCTTTACGACAACTTTGCTGAACAACTTAGCTATGTTTCTCGTATCTGACACCTTTTCCGTCGATACTGCGCTTTACTTTGTCCATGCTCGACCACGGCGATCGTACTATCTCGCAACGGTTATTGCTATTATTTGCCCGCAGTTCTGGACATATCGCTTCCGTGCCAAGATTTGTTTTATGCCTGCGTTTGAAGGACAATTGATTACCGTGCAGCGCACGAACATTCCAGAAAGTGTTCCTCTGTTCCCTGGGTCAATACACCGCGACCAACAATGTTTGCGCGGTCTGT